GCGCCCTCTAGCGGCGAAAATTACATATTGTGCCTTTAATCAGTCATAACGTGTCAGGTTGATGTGATGATGTGAGGTCTGAGGTTCAGGAGGGTTTGTGTCGCAGTGTTGTGGTGGGTCGTGTGCCCCTGGTGGGTGAGAAAGTGTTGGTGAAAGCGGTCCAGGACCCCCTGAAGCCCATCAGCTGGACGGCACAGAAAGTTCAGACGCTGAACGGACAGGTGGGCAGAAATGTTTTGGGCTAATATTTCAATAACATCCTCTTTGAGAAGATAATAGAAATGCACAGTTTGTTAAAAAGCACATTTCTGTGTGCATCTTAGTGTATTTGCATTAGCAATGCTTGTAATACACTATTTGTACAGTACAATGAGAATAATCATTTCGTATAGTTGTACAGTAAATAATGCAAATAATACTTTGTTTTTTTCTTGATTTTGGACTGAAGTATAGTTCTTGCGGTTCACCCTTATAACTGCTATTCTGTTTTAAAGCGCAGAAATATGAATTGCCACTAAACAAACACTACCTGTCAAAAGTTTGGGGTCTGAAACTTTGTTGAAAGTCTCTTCTGCTCACCAAGGCTGCATTTATTTGTTCAAAAATACAATAAAAACAGTAATATTGTGAAATATTATTACAATTTAAAATAACTGGTTTCTATGTGAATGTATATTAAAATGTAATTTATTCCTGTGATCAAAGCTGAATTTTCAGCATCATTACATCAGTCTTCAGTGTCACATGATCTTCAGAAATCAGTATAATATGCTGATTTATTATTATTATGTTGAAAACAGTTGTGCTGCTTCATATTTTCGTGGAAACCATTATGCATTTTATTTTTCAGGATTCTTTGATGAACAAAAAGATGAAAAGAACAGCATTTAATTGAAATAAAACTCTTTTTGTAAATGTCTTTACTGTTACTATTGATCAATGCGTGCTAGCTAAATATTAATTTCTTTGGTATGGAAAGGTGATGTACATGAAATTGTGCACATAAGTTGTCGACTATTTTATGAGTTATTTCTAATATTAACATGGGCAAACAATGAATATCTGTAACAGTGAAAGGTTAATTTTGCCTTATAATTAAATTTCGATTTATTAACATTTATATCAACCATCAATATTTGTTCTGTGAAAATGTGAGTCACTACCATGTTGTTAAAATAGTATTACCATTTCTAATCTACAATGACAAAAAAATGTAAATGTTTGGTTTCAAGATGCATGTAAAGATGCTGCATTATTAATGACATGAGTGTATAATGTTATTTTTTATGCCTGATCTTCAGAAGGTTTGTCTCTTTCTCTGGTTTCTTTCTGTCAGCCCTTCAAATCTCCCCCTCCGCTGCTGCCCTCCATGTCATCTAATCCGAAGCCTGGCATTTTAGGGACCAAACCGCAACCTCTGCTGAAATCTCCCAAAATACCACCACTGATTCCCAGCATGCAGCCAAATCCTGGTACGTGATGCAGTGTTGTTATCGATAACTAAAACTGTTAGGAAACATTTTTGTTAATGGAAATAAAGCTAAAATAAATTACATAATAAATATTAGATTAAAAAAACTTGGGAAGTACAGTGCTGGTCAAAATTAATTTTTCAATGTTTTTAAAAAAAAAGTCTCTTCTGATCACCAAGGCTGCATTTATTTGATCAGAAATACAATAAAAACATTACTATTTTTTACATTTAAAACAGCTGTTTTCTATGTGAATATATTGTAAAATGTAATTTATTTCTATGATGCAAAGCTGAATTTTCAGCATCATTACTCCAGCCTTCAGTGTCACATGATCCTTCAGAATGATATCTAATATTTAGCGGTCTGATATGCGACAGGTGGTATGATGCAGATGTCCTGGAGCGGTCCATTTGATGGTTGGGCTGGAGGACGGAAGAGACACGCTGAGGTCATGGGAGGACGTAGAGGTGGACGCTGGTGAGTCACACTTTCAGTGGATAGTAGCGTGCTGCATACTGTGCACTGTATACTGTATACTGCATGCTGTTAAAAAAAACTATGCAGTATGCAATGATTAAATGCTTTTAAACAGCCTTATGCTACATTGACCACACTACATTGCAATTTAATTTGGCTCCAAATCTCAGGTAGAAATTGTCATTTTTGACCCCCTCCCTTCAACAAAATAGTGGATCACTCAGTAAATATTCATTCATGACATTTAATATTTTGGCTTTTGTCATTATTTATGTTTGTCTTTCTTTAGAAAAATAGGAGCAAAATTTAAAGTTTTAGTTTCTGCAACCTGGTTGATTGATTTGAATTGACCCATGAGTTGCATCCAGTTATATCATTAACTCAGAAATGACAATTTTGCATTTTTTAGTTTAATTTTGCATTGAATTTTTAGCAGTCTGATTAAATCAAAGTCAAAGTTGTCAAAACTGAGATCAAGTCAAAACTGAGGTTGATGATGCATCTGTATAGAACAGAAGCAGAACAGAAAACAAAACAGAAAGAGCTTTATTGCCAAGTGTGTTTGCACATACAAGGAATTCGTTTTGGTGACAGAAGCTTCCAGTACAGAGATAACAACAACACACAGATAATAAAAAATAACATGTGTATTATATAAATAAGAGGTATTGCACATTTGTACATTTTTGTTTTGAACAGTGGGGAGAACATTTAACTGTTCATAAAGTAGATTGGGCCTGGGGGAGGAAACTTTTTTTTGTGCCTAGCTGTATCATTCCTTATACTAGAAATGTAAGCTTACGTTGAGTGCATTGCATTGTTGGATACTTTATGCTCATCAAGGATGCATCAATTTGATTAAAAATACTGTAAAAATTGTGAAATATAATTACAATTAAAATTGCAGTTTTCTATTTGTATATATTGTAAAATGTAATTTATTTCTATGATGCAAAGCTGGATTTCCAGCATCATTACTCCAGTCTTCAGTGTCACATGATCTTCAGAAATCATTCTAATATGCTGATTTGCTGCTCAAGATACATTTCTGATTATTATCAATGTTGAAAATGGTTAATATTTTAGTGGAAACTGTGATGCATTTTATTTTTCAGGATTCTTTGATGAATAGAAGGTAAAAAACAACAACATTAATTTGAAATAGAAATCTTTTGCAACATTATAAATGTCTCTACTGTCACTTTTGATCAATTTAATGCATCTTTGATGAAAGTATTGATTTCTTTCAAAAACTTTCGAACTTTTCAGTCTGATTTGTTACAGTGGCTCGTTCTGTTGTTTTTGTGTGACCGTCCTTGTAGACTGTCCTGTTTTTAACATGCTCCTCTGCTGACACGTGTCCTTGTTGCTCTTTGTGGCGTGACTCAGGGAGGACAGCGGCGGAGGGCCGTGGGGAGGAGACACCATGCACCAAAAACGAAAAAGATGGAGGGCCGCCTCAGAGGAGGAAGCGCCCAAAAAGAGCAGCTCCGTATCCACACACAGTGCTCCGTTATTCTCCAGTTTCTCCAGGGACACGTAAGTCGGTCTGAAACAATGCGGGACGCTCTGATGAAGCGTAAACTCATTGTCATATCCTCTTGATTCTTTCAGCCAGGCCTGTGATTATCTGGAGCTTCAGCGGCGGTACCCACACCTGCACCTGCCCTCCAACCTCTTCCACCTCCAGCTGTCCTGGACCGAGAGTTTCCCACTCGACCAGCCTCTTCCTCTGAGAGGACCATGTCACTTTCACGTGGGAGCAAACCAGCCGGAGAGTGAAGCAGATGTTTGCGAGTCCACAGATGATGCTTTCGCCGTTAGGGTACACGTGCCGCTCTTTTGACGGATCATGTGACCATGCAAGGCTCAGATTCTCAAGAATGGTTGTGTTCTCTCTGCAGGTTCTGTTGTTTTCTATGCCGTGCCTTGAGGACTTGTACTCACAGTGTTGTAACCTCTCAAAGGAGGCCGTACATCCCACTACACTTCTCAAAGTAAGAACATTCAGTCCTCAACATCTCTGAAATCACACGCTCTTCAAAATAAAAGTTCTAAATAGGGATGTCATAGAAGAAGAACCATATTTGAAAATGTGTTTTTCTTAGTTTAAAAAACTTTTAAATAATCTATAAAGAATCTTTTTTGCAATCAAAAGTTTCCATGGATGTCTCTTGTCTTATTGTGAATGTTGCATGTAATTCTAAAGCCAAATAATATTCATAATCGGCAAGTTGACTGCTTTTCGGCTGATGTAATCAAGGCTGTACAGGGGGAAATAATATTAAAGGGCACCTATTATGCCCTTTTTTCACAAGATGTGATACAAGTCTTGGGTGTCCCCAGAATGTGACTGTGAAGTTTCAGCTCAAAATGCCCGTTTTGAGTAGAAGTTTTCGTGCCTGTATCTTTAAATGAGTGTTATGTATAATTGTGTCACTGGCTCTTTCTCTGTGTTGTAGTTTGTGATGCTGGACAGTGGAGGTGAACTGCGGCTTCCAGGAGGTCACTGGTCACCCAAAGCAGACGGAGCGAATCCAGTGAAGGACGGTTCGACGCTGGTCAACACTGCGGTCCGCTGCATAAAGGATCAAACCGCTCTGGACCTGTCAGCCTGCACGCAGTGGTCTCTATATTTGGTTTTTAATTTCAGTTCAATACAGTTAAGATTTATTGGTCTGGCGGGTTGAATTGTGATTGTTTATGTACAGAAAGTCTATAAGTAACAATAATTAGAAGAATGTAGAATGTTATTAGAATGTAAAGCATAAACTATTTATTTGTAAGTTCCCTAAATAAATGATTTACAGTTTCATATGTAGAAAAATGTTTTTTTTTTTTTTTTTTAAGAAATTAATACTTTTTTAAATGTTTAAATTAATTAATTTTTTTTTTTAAGAAATTAATACTTTTATTCTGCAAGGATGCATTAAATTGATCAAAAGTGACAGTAAAGATATTTATAATCTTACAAACATTTCTATTTCAAATGAATGCTGTTCTTTTGAACTTTCTATTCATCTGTGCATCCTGAAAAATAAAATGTAGCACGGTTTTCATAAAAATATTCAGCAGCACAACTGTTTTCAACATTGATAATAATCAGAAATGTTTTTTGAGCAGCAGATCAGCATATTAGAATGATTTCTGAAGATCATGTGACACTGAAGACTGGAGTAAGGATGCTGAAAATTCAGCTGCGCATCACAGAAATAAATTACAGTTTAACAGATATTCACATAGAAAAGTTTTTTTTTTATTGTAATAATATTTCACAATATTACTGTTTTTACTGTATTTTTTAACAAATAAATGCAACCTTGATAAGCATAAGAGACTTCTTTAATTAACTTGCCGACCCCAAACATAATCCAAAATTTTGATTATGTAAATATAAGAAATACCTCACTTTTTGTCTTTTATATATTCATTAGTAATTTTCACGTATGTCTTCCTGTCTCTGAAGGCACAAGATGGCGGAGCTGAGATATCTTTCCGGAGATAAAATGGAGACGGTTGTGGTGTTGTTGCCAGATGTGTGGAATCTAGTGCCAGCAGAAGAAGACTGGGCAAAATTACCACAAAAACAGCTGGTACAGACTTCAGAGTCTATAAATATTATGCATTAGAAATATGCTTGAAATCACATCAGATTCTTCAGATTGACTTCTAACTTGTCTGTATCTTTCCTGTCATCCAGGATGGTGATTTGTCACTTCCAGAAGGTCCGTCTGAATGGAAAGCTTATTTATTCATACCCGTATGACTGGTTTTGTGGTCCAGGGTCACATATATATTCTAACATGTATTAATAATTCAAATAATACAACGTGTATGTTACATATGTTGTAAACTGGCTCAGTCATGATGTAATCTGCATTGTTAAGATGCACTAGTGTTTTAGCTGACGTCTCTCGTGCTGCTGTCAGGTGAGTTTGATGGCGGAGATGTTCAGTGAGATGCTCCAGAGGGATTTTGGGCTTGAGCTGTATCAGTGTATGTGCCGTCTGCCGCAGGGCCCCAGCGTCAAAGAGGACAACAGCGCTCCCAAGGTACACTAGACTGCACACCTGTGATATTTTAGTATCGCTGAGATACTGTTATAGATTTAATAATAGTTTAAATTAGTTCTTATTTGAACGTTTTCTGTTTTCATTTTAATTTTAGTTAAAGTTTTATTCATTTGGTTGTGTTTTTGTCATTTTTATTCGTTTTTTTTTTGTAAGATATATATATTTTTCTATATAGTTTTAATACATTTTTTATTTGAGTTTTAGTTATTTTAGTACAGCAAGTTAAACTAAATGAAAATGAGAAATGCTGGCTTGGAAACTAGCTAAAAAAACAATTGTAAGGATTTTATATTTTATTTCAGTTCAAGTTATTTTTTTCAAGTAATTAAATGTTTTTTAATGTTTTTAGTTAACTATAATAATCCTGCTGCACACACAAGGGTTATTTTAGGATCATTGATATATACTATTATAGTTTTAATAATATTTTGAATTAGTTTTTGCTTTTATATTTTGTTTTCTTTTTAATTGGCTCCAGAGGGATTTTGGGCTTGAGCTGTATCAGTGTATGTGCCGTCTGCCGCAGGGCCCCAGCGTCAAAGAGGACAACAGCGCTCCCAAGGTACACTAGACTGCACACCTGTGATATTTTAGTATCGCTGAGATACTGTTATAGATTTAATAATAGTTTAAATTAGTTCTTATTTGAACGTTTTCTGTTTTCATTTTAATTTTAGTTAAAGTTTTATTCATTTGGTTGTGTTTTTGTCATTTTTATTCGTTTTTTTTTTGTAAGATATATATATTTTTCTATATAGTTTTAATACATTTTTTATTTGAGTTTTAGTTATTTTAGTACAGCAAGTTAAACTAAATGAAAATGAGAAATGCTGGCTTGGAAACTAGCTAAAAAAACAATTGTAAGGATTTTATATTTTATTTCAGTTCAAGTTATTTTTTTCAAGTAATTAAATGTTTTTTAATGTTTTTAGTTAACTATAATAATCCTGCTGCACACACAAGGGTTATTTTAGGATCATTGATATATACTATTATAGTTTTAATAATATTTTGAATTAGTTTTTGCTTTTATATTTTGTTTTCTTTTTAATTGTAGTAATTTTTTTTTTAATATGTTAATGTATATACAGTATAATATATATATATATAATATTAATAATTATATATAATAATATACATATATTTTTAAAATATGTTAATATATCATTTTTACAAATTCTTATTTCAGTTTTAGTTATTTTAGCACATCAAGTTAAATTAAATTAAAATGAGAAATATTGCCTTGGCAACTAGCTGAAAGTTAAGTTTAATGAAATAAGTTTTTGAAATAACACCGATGGACATCTGGATGTGCAAAGGGAAAGAATACTCCTAAACCATTAAAACTCTGATACTTTATTTGACACTGTTGTAGCATTTTAGCATTGTGTAATTTTATGTGAAGTCCACTTTTAATGCCAGACAAGGTTCCTTTCACAAAAACAATTATAAACAAAATTAAATGGCCTGCTGTACCTTTAAGGTTTTACTTCTGAATGTAAAAATGACCTCTGTTATGATTGGCTGACTACTAAATAGGTGTTGATATTTAGTTTTTATTGTAACTTTTTTACGCTATTTTCTCTGTAAAGGAGGATGAGCCCAAAAAATCAGACAAACAGACGACAAAAAAGAAAGGATTGATCGACGTAAAGAAGAGAAAACTCAAAGAGAAGGATGAGGAGAGAGAGACAGAGGACATGGCCCAGACGGTCGAGACTGACCCATCTGAAAAACAATCTGAGCATCTAAGAGAGAGTAAAACTCTCAGTGCTGGAGGAGACGGGCAGAGCGCCTCAGACACTCAGCCGTCCAAAAACAGCGTAAGAAATCACATTTCTGCTTGCGTCTGAGCCACACATGTCCAGTGTTTCTCCTCTAACCGTGTCTGTCTGTCTGTGTGTGTGCTTGAAGGAACGTCCTCTGGGCTGGACGGCAGAACTTCCCCGTAAAGTGCTTCTGTCCTGGGTGTTCTTTGACCGTCAGCTGACAGGAAGTCTTCGAGAGGCAGACCTGATCAACATCCTGCTGTCTCTCGGCCTGTTTCTCAATCCTGCTCAGGTTTGGTTTCTTCCCAAATATTTTCTTAGAATTCTGCAGAATAAAAGCTTTATGGTTTAACATTTGAAATTAAGAAATTGTAAAGAAGTTAAGGCACACATGAATATTAGTATTATAATTTTGCTGTTGTTGTCAAATAAAATTATTATTATATTATTGTAATTAATATTGTTATAAATACTTTTTGTATTAATTCTTAATAAATCCTTTTTTATTTTACAGAACAATAGTATTATTGAAATGGTAGTATATTTTTGTATCGATTTGTTTGTTTTTGCTTCTTGTTTACTAGAGTTTAAATAAGAAAATAAAATTATTATTATTTTTATTACTGTATTGTATTATTATTATTATTAAATGCTTGTTTTTTATTTTACAGTACAGTAGTATTATTGCAATAGTAGTATATTTCTTTACTGATTTAATTGGTAACACTTTAAAATAAGGTTCATTAGTTAACATTAGTTAACTAGTAAACATGAACTAAGAATGAACAATACTTCTACAGCATTTATTAATCTTAGGTAATGTTAATTTCAACATTTACTAATGCATTATTAAAATCAAAAGTTGTGCTTGTTAAAATTAGTTAATGCACTGTGAACTAACAATGAACAACAATTGTTTTTTTTATTTTACAGTAATATTATTGCAATAGTAGTACATTTGTTCAATGATTTGCTTAATTTTTATAAACTAAAAATGAAATAAAATATTTCGAATAATGATAAATAATTTAATAATAATAATAATATAATTATTGTTGTTGTTTTTGTATAGCCATATTGAATCGGGAAACAAATTGGTTTTCTTTCTTTTTCATTGGTTTGTCCTTTTTTGATACATGTCAATAAAATAGCTCAATCTAGCAAAAGATTTATAGTGAAATATTTGTAATTTGGGCATATTAGAGTATTATCTCGAGAGTTCAAACCTATGAACCAAAACATCCAGCTCAGAGACGAACCACAAACTTTGATTCAAAATGAAAAAGTTTTAGAAATTTGTAAAAGATACAAAGACCGTGCACTTGAATATCACAGTCGAATCAAAAAATATGGTAAAAATATAAAACTACACTGCAAAAAAAATTTGACCCAGTATTTTCTTAAATCAATACGTTTACTTGAAAATCTAAATTACATAAGATATTAAGTCTTTTAAGTCCTAACCCCATTGACATATAATTTTTTATATGTCACACTTCATTTTGGTATATCTCAAGTCGTTTTGCTTCTCAAGTAAATGTATCTTGATTTAAGAATGTTTAGATATTTGTACTGAAAAACAAGACAAAAATACTGATGAAGAACATAATTCTTTGCAGTGTATTGACATGCATTCTTCAATTATATGTAAAAACAATGTATTTTAAGTCTATCTGATTTCCCATTTCTTCTCAGGCGCAGGATCTGGTCAGAAAGGCTGCAGTCGGTGGGCTTTGCCTCTACAGAAATCTGTGCAGTCGCTGGTCAGACGCTGATCGGACAGACAGCAGCATCAGTGCTGAGGGTGTGTGCTGGAAATCATATAATCTGATAAAGCGTGTAAACACATTTGTCTGTAGCATTATAAAAATGCCAGTGTGTTCCTCTCAGGAAATAAAGCCATGTTGCCCGGCCAGTCATGCAAAGACAGAGCATCTGCCCGTCGCACCGGTAACACAGATCTGGTGAACTACAGAGGGAACGTCATTAACTTACCAAACCTACTGCAGATGCTGGAGAGCAGCAAAGAGGCCCAACGCGAACTGGAGAAGTGTGTCGCTGCTCTGCAATCCAGACTCGGTGAGACTCTAATGCTTTAGAGGAATAGTTCACCCACATTTGTGAGTGAGTTTGTTTCTTCATCAGATTTGGAGAAATGTAGCATTGCATCACTTGCTCAGCAGTGGATCCTCTGCAGTGAATGGGTGCCGTCAGAACGAGAGTCCAAACAGCTGATAAAAACATCACAATAATCCACAGGTAATCCACAGCACTCCAGTCCATCAGTTAACATCTGGAGAAGACAAAAGAAACAAAAACATTTTTAACTTCAAAAATCGTTGATTCTGGCCAAAAAACGATTCCTCTATCCATAATATTGCTTTTTACAGTAAAAAAAAAAGTCGAATCAGGAGAGAAATCTGCACAGATCAAGCACTGTTTACAAGTCAATTCAGCTCTTAACACATATGTGGGTGGATTTTGATGTGAGAGACAACAAAAGATGGACTTCAACACTGGAGGAAGCGTTATTATGGATTATGGACTTGTATTTTAGCCGGATGCAACGTTTTAAAGTTAAAAGCGTCTCAATGATGGATTTGTTTCTTACAAACACACAGCTTTTGGCTTCTCAAGACATTAACTGATGGACTGGAGTGGTGTGGATTACTTGTGGATTATTGTGATGTTTTTATCAGCTGTTTGGACTCTCGTTCTGACGGCACCCATTCACTGCAGAGGATCCACTGCTGAGCAAGTGATGCAATGCTACATTTCTCCAAATCTATTCTAATGAAGTAACAAACTCATCTACATCTTCAGTACATTTTCAGCAATTTTTAATAATTTGGGTGAACTGTTCCTTTAAACCTCTTGTGGCATAATGCTTTATTTCTGCCATCAGTGTTGGGGAAAGTTACTTTTAAAAGTAATGCATTACAATATCCAACACTGTCTGCCATTATATTCCAGTATCATGTCATGATATTTTATGCATGCATTTGAATGCGTGTCCGGTGTGTGTATATGTGATTCAGAGGCAGCAGAAGCGAGGAAGGTGTCTAATGAACAGGAGCAGGGCCAACAGAAAGAGCTGAAGAGGAAACTGGAGAAATCCGAGACGCTTAACAAAACATACGAGAAGAGTTTGAGAGAAAACAGCAGTCAGATGATCTCCGTCATTGAGAAGATGCAGAGGATGGTTGAACAGGTGACATCCTTAAATGTTTGTTTTATATGCATTTTAGAAATTGTATTCTAATAGATTTGTGTTTTATATGCATTATAGACATTATTTTTTTTGCATTAATACACTATGTGTTTACTGTTTAGACAACAACCCTCACAAATGCAAATGCAGGAAAGGATGAGAAGGCATAGAGACAAAGAAGCTCATCAGATGGTGATCTAATAGCGTTTGGACCGAGGAGAATAAAAGAAACCTGCAAAATAAAAAATTAAAATGTTGTTAGCTTTTAAAAAACAGGTAATTTTTTTTTGCTGAATAAATGTGTATTCATGCACATGGATATGGAAAGAACTGCATTCGTGGACATTTGTAAATGTTTTTATTAATAAATGTGTTTTGCTGGCTTATTTTGGAATGGATATGCATTCATATGAAACTATGTAATGTGCTTAATATGGAAAGGAAACGTTGTGCTTTATTTATTTAGTGGTATTTAATTTTATTTGGTTTTTAAATTCTGGCAGCTATGAAACTAAGATCCTTCCACACAACTGACAATTTCATAAACAGAGATGCAGGTACGCAAACCTGTTCATAGCCCTGTATAATGAAACTAATTCTTTTTTACATGTGAATTTGAAACGGTCAGGGTTTAAAGATTGGAAACACTCATGGAACTTTATTTTTTTGTGACGAATTGGATTTGATTGTATTTCAGTTTTGTTATTGTGTACTAAAGCATTGCCTTACTGTTAGAAACCGTCCACCGCCATAAATATTCTTAAGTGTTGGTATGAGGATAGTCTAGTGTTTAGTCTAGACTAAAGTATAGTGAAAGTTCAATTATTTTGGAAATACTGCCTGAATTCTCCCTTGCAATTAAAAGAGTTTGAAGTCAAACCAATCTAGAAAAACAGCTCTATATGTTAATTTACTATGATGAACACTTGTGAGAATGAATGCAATTTAATGTAAAGTCTTAAACAATTTAGAAAGATTTGCTAACAGTAAGATATCGACTTATTTTGGAAAATGTTTTTGTCTTTTTCTCAGGGACCATTTATATTTTCTAATAGCCTGTTTCTGAACAGTTGCATGTTTATTTGTCTTCCAACAGAATTTAGTGACTGAGTAAAGTTGAAAACATATCTCGTAATTAATTTTTTTATTTTCTTTTTCTGCTTACTTTCTTTTTGTCTGCTTTTTTAAAACACAAAAACTACATTTTGTTCAGTGACTTGGCCAGTAAATCTCCAATCGTGTATGAAAATGTATTTGTCATTCATTGGGAGGAGTCCCAAAAGAAATAAAACCGCTCAAAATATACTCGTAGCTCAATCGTTTTTTTGTATCTTAAAATGTCAAATTTTTTTTTCATCGTGTGTTTTTGACCCACCGCGACAGAGGCCGCTATTTCTTTCCAACTTTAGTGTACGTATTTTTGAACAGTACAGTAGGGAAGGCTTATCTCATTAATAATAATTAGGTCATTGATGACGTTGCTTGGTGAACTTCCTGGAACGTCAAGGCACGTATCTTAATTAATATTCAGCAGCCAGTCCTATGCGCTGAGCTCTATGGCTGAGCTACAGAGCCGTTGAACGCAAAAACACCAAACGTCACTACACGTAATTAATATTCATGATAAATTAATGTTCACCGCGTTCACAATTTCGTGCCTTTTATAAACAAAGATAATATTTTTCAGTTATATAAAATGTCATGTGATGTGTTGTAAACGCCAGGATGCAATACAAAATGAGCGCAAAAAAATCAGGAAATGAGATATTTTGAGTGAGAGCTGCGTAGTTTCACTTTCATTTACCGATCGGATATCACGCACAGGTTCGTTCAAAACCTTTGTCCCCTAAATTCAATGAAACCTTCGATATATTTTGCTCATGTGTGCCATTGATAACCAGCTGACTAGCGCTCGTATCCAACAGAAACAGTATTATTAAATCTGATATTTCATCATGCTCCTCGCCCAGTCTTGCTGTTTAAGCTGCTTTACATTTGCAATTTTATTCTGTGGTCTTTTTGTTGGAAACCATGGAATGACTGTCGACACAGACACAAATGCAACGCCTTTTCCCTGGGACAAGATAAGATTGCCAGAAACAGTGAAGCCCCAGCACTATGACCTCTTGATACACCCCAACTTGACCTCCCTGACCTTCACCGGAGTGGTCCAGATTCTCATAGAGCTAGAGCAGGACACCAGAGCCATCATCCTTCACAGCAAGAACCTGCAGATCTCCAAAGCTCAGCTCTTGGGCCCCAGACATCCTCAGGATCTGCAAATCAGTGAGTTTGAAGCCTATGAACAGATCGCGCTCTTCTCTGATGGCTTCACATTTGAGAAAGGAAACCATGTGGTGCATTTGGAGTTCTCCGCCAACTTATCAGATAGTTTTCATGGCTTTTATAAAGGCAGATATACCACAAACAGTGGAGAGGTCAGGTAAGACAACCACTGCATTGCTTTTTATGTCTTGGCTCTTGATTAACTGGCCAAAGTTTTACTCGGAATGTATTTGAAGTGGCTTTGAAGAATCGAAAACCCCTTCAAAATGATGATTTTTCTTTCTGCAGGATGTTGGCATCCACTCAGTTTGAGGCGACACATGCTCGAGCTGCCTTCCCTTGTTTTGATGAACCTGCATTCAAAGCCAACTTTACCATCCGTGTGCGCAGAGAATCAAGGCACATTTCCATATCCAACATGCCCAAGGTACACATAATGAACCATTTTATTCTGTTAAATATCTGGGTTTGATCTTTATGGTGCAGGTGAAATTGACCTGGATTTATACTATGAAAAACCAAAAAAATCAGGTAAAAACAGTAAATCTTTAACATGGATAGTTCTCACACATTGCAAATAAATAAACATGAGAATATAGGATTTTTAAAACTGTATTCAATAACATTATATTCCACAAACAGTATTGTACATATTTTTTTAGGAACATTTTCAGCAGTTGAAAAGCACTAATTCTGTGTTCTTTTCTGAAGCTCAAACTGTAGAAGCATGACGCTCGCAACGCCAAGATCATGGGTTTGGTCCCTGCAAAATTAACATGCGTGAACTGATCAAAATGTGGTGTAAATTTCTTCAGATAAATGCGCCTGCCGAATGCATAAATGTAAATGTAGTTGAGAATCTAACAAAAAAATAATTGAAACAAATCTTTTCTTATATTCTGTGCGGCTGCCTTTAACCATGAGATCATAACAGAAATTTTGTACGCCCTTTGAACACATTCAAGTCAGAATTTTGAATGCATGTTTATTATCCTAAATGAGAAGTCACAAAATATGCATTAAAAAAAGCCTTGGTAACTCAACAAATGTATCATCACAACTATCATATCAGTCTGTGTTTTTAAATGACACCATCTGCAACTGGTATTTTCTCAGTATATATTTCTTTCACAGACCATTTCATGTAAGTGTAACCTAATGCAAGGTTATTTCTTCCAATAGCTGAGAACTGTAGAACTGGCTGACGGGCTGCTGGAGGATCAGTTTGACACGACGGTGAAGATGAGCACCTACCTGGTGGCCTTCATCATCTGCGATTTCCAGTCCATCAGTAAAACAAGCCAGCATGGAATCGAGGCAAGTCCATAAGCATTATAAACACACTTTATATCATACCCATACCTCATTCCACTTTCCATTGACTCTTCATAACCTGAATCCTGATATAGATATCAGTGTATACTGTTCCTGAGAAGATCAATCAGGCGGAATATGCTCTCAACACCGCCGTCACTCTGCTCGACTTTTATGATGATTATTTTGACATCCCGTATCCACTTCCCAAACACGGTGAGTGTTTGCTGGTGAAAATGGTATAACGTATTACTATCTGCTTTCATCTGCCAGGAAATCATTTGAAATAACCTAGTTTTGAATATAATTGTACTTGCAGATCTTGTGGCGATCCCAGATTTCCAGTCAGGCGCTATGGAGAATTGGGGCCTGTTGACTTACAGAGAATCCGGTTTGCTCTTTGACCCTGAGAAATCTTCTTCCTCGGACAAACTGGGAATCACCAAAGTCATTGCTCACGAGCTAGCACATCAGGTTGATATTTCTGTTACTAATTCGATCTAAGTAATGGATAATGCACAGGCAGTCTGCCTTTATATATATATATATATATACACAGAGCTGGGTAGATTACTTACAAACTGTAGTCTGTTACTGATGACAGATTACATGATGAAAACTGTAGTTGGCAGTGTTGGGCTAGTTACTCAAAGAATGTAATATATTACTCATTACTAGTTACTAATTTCAAAAGTAATATTGTTACTTTACTTTTTACTTTCTGGCAACAGTAATTAGTTACACTACTAGTTACATTGTAATGCCAAAGTAAAGTAAAGCCGCAACTTACACAACAGTGCTCAGATCATCTTTTTTCCTGACAAAATTAATATAATGCAATATTTCTATCTGCTGAATGTAAGCTTTTCCATATTCCAAGCTTGCCTGCTGCACTGGGGACATCACATGCATGTGCGAGTCGTGAAAATTATGAAAATAAATCTAGGAATTATTTGATTGTTGGATTTTAAATCAGCGGGGTCGAGGCATCAAAAGTAACTAAGCTGTTTTATGGATGGTAACTGTAATATTATTACTGAAATCTTATTAGTAATTAGTTACACTACTAGTTACTGCAAAAAGTAATATCATTACAGTAACTAAGTTACTAGTTACTCCCCAACACTGGTAGTTAGTACTGTAATCTAGGTTACTCATTTTATTTAATGTAATTCGACTACTTTTTAGATTACTTTAATCAAACTTGTTTTGAATTTACATTAAACTTACCATATTCGTATAAAAAAAGCAAAGAAAAAAAAACTGATAAAAATTTTTATATCAACATCATAAAATGCATTAATGCACCAGGGTTTGCCAAACTGGGGTTAATGTAAGAACTGCACTAGGTTTGTGAGTTGATAAAAAGCTAATAATGAATTAAATCTTAAAAAGTACAATAAAAATAATGCAAACCCTTGAACACTAAAAAGATAAATATTTACTTGTTTACCTGCATGTCAATGTAACCATTAACCGACATCAGAGAACTGTAAACATGTGAATGTGTTGTTAAAGTGTTTGAAATATATTAACTTTCTCAGAGAGATATTTCAGGTATATATTTTATTTTAAGGGGATCGGCTGATAAAAACGTTTGGGAATCCCTGCATTATACGAACAAACATTAATAAGCATGAAAATA